TCGAGCGTGGAATACCTTAGGCACGCACGCTATTGGGAACGCCACCTTTATACCCCCGCCCGCCTTAATCATTCATCCCACGAACTCGCCTGCCGATTTTACTAAATTTTCATTGCCTCGAATTATATTTTTTCTACCTCCTGCGTGTCTTCCTGCTCTGTGCGGGGTCCCAATTCTGCGTTTTCCCTTTTACCCTTCCTCTCAAACATGTTACCTTTCATTCGTTTTTATTCTGATCACGAATTATAATTTATATAGAAATATTAGAATTTCGATTTTATTATCTTACTTCCGCTTTTCTTCGTGTTATTTCACCTTACCTTTCAAAGAAATGTCATTATGTTATCTTCTCTTTTACATTTACATTTATTTCACGCAACCTCCTGATATTCATATTAAATATCATTTCCTTATCTATCCAACTCTATTCATTCTATTTGGTTTCTCCGTTTCATGTTAGTTGATTCTAGTTTCCAGAGTTAATTTCATTCAACACACGTTCACGTGGCAACAACTGCCCAAACGCGGATGAGAGCGCATGAGGAGGCATTTTCAACGAAGTTAATAATGGCAGGAAATGGACTCACCTGGCGCATGTTGCATTGAACACTAATAAACCGTTTACGTGTTATTGCATTCGTCATCTCCTCAATGTGTCCTTAAAATTCACTATAAAATACTTAGGATTTGTAAAAGTGGAAATAAGATAATGCATTTAACTTTCGACTATTTTTTCCTTACGTTCTTCACTTCAAGACACAGGAAATAAATAATTTTGTAGCACGTTTCATTGTTTATATTAATTAACGTTTTTTAAATTTAACTATCAGGCAATGTGTGAAGGAAAAGCATTTAAATATTACTAACAAATTTAGCAGCAAAGACCTGTGTTTTAAATCAGTTCAGGATTATGATATTGTACATTATGAAACGGTCTCTAGTTTCAACGTTTCTTAATTTACATTAGAACTTTAAATCTGAGCATGTCATATATAAATGGGCGTGTTTAATTCGTATTTACTACGTGTTTCCTTCTCTGGAAAGGACTTTCTCGGCATCGTGAGAGCATGCTAAGTGGGTGACGCAACGGCCTCAACCTTGATGGCCAAGTTTCCCTGGCTCTCACTTGTCTTACACGACCCTGCACTCAGGCCTCCGTTTGAAGGTGACTGCTTCACAGCGTAACAGAATGCACGATTCACTTCCGCCGGTGCACATGCGGATATCAAGAGTCACAGTAGTTCTTTGCAAGAAAGGAAAATCCCTTGTTTATGCAAGAGGTTTTTGCTTCTTTTAAAACGATTTTGTTTTTGTTCGTGGAGTTTCCTGGAGAAATGTTTGGCATTCTCTTTCCACGCACGTTTGTAAGTGTTGCAATCTTTGCCCATGACACCCAATTAGTGACCATATCTATCTCCAACCCCATGAATATGAGTGAAATTTCGGATAGAAGAGTACATGAAATTCCTGCGAAGCAATTGATTATCCGAAAATACTTAGTAGATAAATCAATTTAAATTATTGTTTACTCAGTAAATGTGTTCGATAAAACCAATTAGCCATTGTTGATCGTTCTTGCTTTGGCAAATTTCGAATCGAGATATTGATTCATCAACTTTTCCTTGTGCGCGTTTTCGGTGCATCTCTTAATTGATTGACAAGTGATTTCGGGCGCGTCAACTACTAAGGTCATTAGACTCGTGAGAGTAGTACATGTTTTTATCACGGGAGTGGGCGGCCATCTTCCCCAGGGAGATCTGACCCCGATCGGATTGCGGAACCAGATATCTCCCACCACCGTAATTCGGTGCATAAAGTGCATTGCTTTAGCAGTCCGGTTAAAATATCAACAATTTAGTGAAATTAAAATTTCTCTTGAAAAAGGTCTTATTGGAATTACTATGTGTTACAACAAGAATTGTTTTCTAATTTCTCATAGTCATTTTTGTTCAATGAAACAACCACGTGAATTGTTCGCTCATTTGCTTCTGATGCTAATTAGATGAAACGAAAAGTAAATAAATAAAATTCCTCAGTCCATCCTTTTTCTGCCGTTTTACATTGATATGTTAAAAAAGTCACAATTTTATTTTACACTTCAAAAACTTTCATACAGGTTGGTACAACAACACATAAAGTAAAATTATTTTATTATTGAATCTATTTTGAAGTCTTTCTTTCAATGATAAGAATTTTATTCGTTTTTTTTTCACATAACTATGAAGAATAACGATACTCAACTACTACACCACGCGAATTCTCGTTTCTTAAGTTTTATAAACATTTTCTATTAATGAGATGTCACATTCATGTAAGTTCTGAATAAACTACATTGATGGGTTGTATGTGGTCGAATATGTTGATCAAATCAGTCATTTTGAAATAAAAGTAGCTGTGAACAATTAACAAATTACGAACACAGCATCTACAGACTAACTATATTCTTGTTGAATTGTGCAAGTAATACTAGAAAAAACTACGTATACACATTAAAAAAGGCTCAAAGTATAGTGATTTTGCTTAAACCTTGAACGTGAGAAGCTGAATGGGGTCCATCGCGAAGGCGAGATTAAAAATGTTTATATTACTTTCCAATAACATTCCATAGCGCATCTCTTGCACTATTAGACGGGCAGTTAATTTCCATCAAGACCCCCTGCTCTCTGCGCCGCTGCGGTCCATTACTCCGACAGCACCGCGCCGCGCCGCCGATGTCCCCCTCGCGGGCGGCGATCTGAACCCTGCT